TCAGTAACCTTACCTACATCCTATTATGTGCTCTGCAAACTTCCATTTAAGCCCCAGAATCCTACCTTGCTCTGTAAAAGCAAGAAGACACCTCAGATTCTTAAGCTCATTGTCCAGCAAAGAATTCATCGAGGGATAGTTTACAGTAGGCCTAATGGCATGTAACAGTTTCAATGAGCCAGAGGGACACAATCCTTCCCCTCAATGCTTCCAAACAGTGAAGTTTTTCTTTTCCTTGACAGTGGCACATTTATTTCTCATGTAGTCTGTCCTGTATTTTGCCAGAAATGCAATTCAAACTATCTTCTAATATTTATAGATGATCATTAAGCAAAAACAGTAAGAGTAATTAAGCCATCTTCGTTTTGCTGCTTCGGACATAATCCAAATTGTATACAAAGGGGAGAAAACAGTAATAGGATTATATTTTTCCAGGAAGCAGAAGTGGGAGAAAGAAGGCTTAGTGGGTAATCAGCAGGTGACAAAAGTGAAACAAACATATGCCAAATATGTGGACACCTAAAGCCACTGTCATAGATAGGGACTTTTCTGTTTATGTGCCTTGGGAAAAAAAAAAACTGGGATTTCAACCCAAGTTCTCCGGGTCCATTTTCCGAATTGCAAATCGCCATCAAACCTAGCATGATTTTGTGGTCTAGTTGAAAGTCACTACATGGAAGTCTTCGATTTAAATATGGCAGAGACATGAATAGGAAACACAGAAATGAATCTGGCGAGGATGGAAATTTAGAGTGCGGAAGCTATCCCACAGTGAAGTGGTTTCTAACTGAAATGCTTAAACTGGAATGAATAACTATCAGATAGATTTAGAGTACTCAGATAAAAAGATCACTAGAGGATTGTAGCCTTTCTATAATTTTTCAACTTTAACCAACTGGATGAGTCGAATTAGATCACAAATAACACACCATAACAAAAAAAAGATAACTTCTGATCCTTTGAATTCATTCAAAAGTTTCCAAAAACCAAGAGATGCCAAGGAATAGCTTTTAAAGATGGGAAATAACATGATGAAGGGTCCACTAGATTTGAAGGAAAAAGTTAGGTTTGGGGGAAAGAAAACGTTTTGCATAATATATCTAAACACCGAAAGATGTTACCATGAAAATTCATATAATCCAAATATTTTAAAAGCTTGATAAATGACCTTGGTAACTACTAAGCAAAGCCAGTTGCTGTGGAAACAGAAGTAAGGACTCAAAGGCTTCTATGCCTCTCTGAACTGTGGCTTCTCCAAGCTCTATGGGTCTACCTAAAAAAGGATAACTCAACACTTAGGATTTGGAATTCAGAAAAATAAAACTTGAAGGGAAAAACATGCAGAAACTTAATACAGAATTCTTCAAAGAATGTGTGTGTGTATTATTTTTTTTCTTTCTTTCCATAGTAGAACCGATTCTGGAATAACCATTATGAGTATGATGAGACTGAGCTAGCCCAGGGGAAAAAGAAAAAAATTAATGACTCCATAAGTAAAATATCACATGTTCAGTCTGTTGCTCCAGAATCCCAGTCGAAGATATCATAGTTCTGACTCTGAAAAAAATAATATTCTTTCACGCCACCTAAAGGTGTGCTTCGATTAGGACCAAGGTGGTTTCCAGCCTATCTCTGCACTGCTGACATGGTATCAAAAAACGTATCACACAGAAAATAAATCGGAAAGAAAGAAAAATAAGAACAAAGTGATAAACGTTGTATCACTACTGTCTGCTATGAGATCCACTCAGCAGCCTGATTAATGGACAGACCATTGGGGGCGCCCGGGTGGCTCGGCCAGTTGAGTTTCAACTCAGGTCATGATCTCAGGGTCCTGGGATTGAGCCCCACATCGGGCTCCGCGCTCAGTGCAGAGTCTGCTTGTCCCGCTCCCTCCCCCTCTATTCCTGCCTACACTCACGTGCACTCGTGTCTCTCAAACAAATAAATTAATCAATAAAAATCTTTTTAAAGAATGAATAGAAGACGAGATTCAGAATGAGAAGTGCTGGAGTCCAGTTAGACGACTTCTCCTCTTGGTGCTGGTGTTCCCCAGTGCGTACAATGGAGGCAAATACCTCAGATATAATTGTGAAGATTAAATACTTGGGCCGGTTTTTGGCATATCCAATAAATACTAGCTAAACCTAAATCGTCCTTGCAGAAAATGTGCCAATATAAAACTCCTATTGACATATTTTAAAAAGAAAAAAAATCTGTAACAAAACAAATATTTTATAGGACTATACTTAAAAAAAAAAGCCAAAAAGGAGAGAAATGAAAACAAAGTATTGATGAAATAAAACCCAAAATAATGGAAAATCCAAATTTTCTTCATCTTGATGGGGGGGTGGGGGAAGAAACCCCAAGGTGATGAATGAAATGTTAAGCTCTAAAATGAGAAATTCACTTGTATTCTTAACAGCAAAGTTTGGTAACAAATTATACTTCATTTTTGACACCAGTTAAAGATAGAGGAATGCTACGCCTCTAAAATAAATGAGAAAGGTTGTCACTACACAGTCCCGCTCCAACACACACACATGCTCCTTAGTGGTAACTATTTAAAATAGACTGGTAATGAACCGACCGTCAAGTGACACATCCCTAAAGGCCAACTTTGTTCTGACTCTCATCTCTAATTCAATACAATGAAGAAACATAATGTATAGGCCAATAACACCATTTTTAAAAATTAAACAATAATACCTCAAGTCAAAACCCCTTCCAAAATCTGGAAGGAGAAAATGCTATCCTTCCATTGAGATTCAAAGAACTAATAACCAAGGACCACTCTAGATGGCTCTTCCATCATTCCGAGTTCTCTCCTCCTATGTGATTCATTTTGGCTAACCAACAATAATATCTCTACACAAAGCGACATACTCTCAACCAATGTCACGAATGCCAAATCTTAACCTAAGGGCCTCATTCGAAAATAAAAGTCTAAAGTCTAAACAGAAAGATTATTCTAGATCTTAGAAATGGACCTGCACTCTAGCTAAGAGGCACAACTTGTCCACACATTTTAAAAAGCACCAAGAATAAAGACAAAATGACACTCATTATCGATTTTCCTAATTTAAACTCAAACGGACCTTAGAAGATGTAGCAGTCAAATTCCTGGTTTTGAATAAGAGGCTGGAGGCCTACGATATTTTGGCCCAAGTATCAAGGTTATTTAGTCACAGAGTCATTAAAAATATCCTACTCAGCTACCCTGGTGTCCAATTTCGAGTAATGTTAAGGTTTGTTTTTTTTGTTTTTTGTTTTTTTTTCCAGAAAGTCTCTCTTCTTGCAGCTCCACGATGATCTGTCTTGAGCTAAATGATGGTATATACCTGTGATAATGATTCCTTCTCAAGTCATGACCAAAAAATGAACACTGAGTGGGTACTGGATCCTTGTATCTTTGTGGCTTTGAAATTCTTTCAAGTCTTTAAGAATCCTGCTCCTCTATTCTTCCAAACAAGTTAGCACTGGTTTATTGAACCCCTAGCAGATGAACTTGAAACATCATGTGAATAGGAAACCATCTGAAAGTCATTCATCAATTGGGCTACGTAAGGGTTTACTTCAAAATTCCATCTAAGTTGATTCAGTAAACCTTAATTCATGAGAACATTTCGGGGGCTCTGATGCTGTGATACACAGATTTCTGTGTCACTTGACCTCAAGGTGGTTGAGAGCTAGCGGCGATCCACACTCTATTGATTATATCTACACACATGAATCCGTTGTGCATTGTCTCCTATAGGGCGAGAACAGTAGCAAAAAAAATCCTTCGACCCTAACAACATTTCGGACAGACACCTTACACAGCATTACTCATTTTTGACGAGAGCTATGATCTACCTTCTCTTCGGTCCTTTTCTCTAGTCTGAAAACACTGAGCGGAAAAACCTTGAGCGTTGCTCGAGAGAAATGAGGGAAAAAAAGAAGAAAAAAAAAAAGCACCTCTACATCAAACCCACAAAGATACCGACGTGGCCTTCCCATCAGTTGTAGTTCTCAAAAAACTCGGCAAGCTGTCAAGAGCCTCGTTATCTGGTTTTCAACCAAGACAGCCTGGGCCTTCCCGAGCCTCCAGAAGTCTGCACCATCCGGACTCGCAGCCTTGAGCCAAGACGGTGATTGCCCCCCAGGAACTTGCATTCATGCGAGGCCCCACACCTGCCCACCTGCCGTCGCTGCGGGTTTGACCGAGGGTCTAGAGAGCTTAGCGGCGACCCCGTGACCTGCGGCCCCGGTGAAGTCCGGGGGGCCAGGCGCCCGCCCCTCGCGGGCAGGCACAGCTGCACGCCGCAGAGGGGAAGCCACACGCCCGGGCCCACCTGCCGCTGTTTCGGTCCCGGGGAGGCAGGTGCGCCGGCTGCCCGCCCCTCGCCTCGGCCCGCGTGCCCTACCTTGTCTAGGCGGTCAGGAGCAGGGCGCCCATGTCGGACTAGGCCGCCGCACCTGCCCTGCTCCTCCGCGCCTAGGGGGGCGCATTCTCGCAGGAGGACCCCATGGATGCGGCCCCGGCTGGGAGGCTAGGCCCGGGCTGCAGAGCAGCGCCCACCTGCTGAGGGGTCGGGGGCAGGTGGCGCTCGGCTGGGCTGCCCGGGGCACGGCCGGCGCCTGCAGGCTCTTCGCTCGCTCGGGGCCTTTATCCCAACGCTCGGAGGCCAAGGGGGTGTTCCCGGGCGCCCGCGGATCTTATTTCCCCCACAAAAGAGCTCCCAGGCGCGAGCGGTTGGCTGGGCGGGAGGGGGACCCTGAAGTCTGCAAGTCGCGGCCGGAGGCGAGGGGGAGGGGGAGGGGGAGGGGGGCAGGGGCGGCGAGAGGGTGGGGGAGGAGGCGCTGCTCCCCAGAAAGGTGCAACCGAGCCCCCCCCTCCCCGCCCCGGGACTGGACCGCACAGGCTCGGTTAACCCGCCGTGCTCCGCGCCGGGCCCATCAGGGCGGAAGGGCCGTCGGACGGCTGCGCCCGCCTGGCGGCCCCGGGCCTCCCCGGGCGGATGGACGCAACCCCGGACCCCCCAAGCCTCGGGCAGGGCGCCCCCGGGAAGACCCGAAGGCCGCTCTCCGGCTGCGCAGAGCCCGGCCGCCCTGCGAAATCCGCCCGGTGGCCTCGGGCTGTGAAACTCATCGGCGAAAGCACCGAGTATCTGCCCAAACCCGCCGTGCGGCGCCCCTTCCTCCGCCCCCGGCCTGCGGAGGGGCCCGCGGAGACCCCTCCCCGCGCACCAGGCCCGCCGCGCGCCCCGCAGCCCACGTGCGCGCCGCCCCCCCCCCCGCGCCCCTGCAGCAGGGCTCCCGGAGGCTGCAGCGTCGGGACGAGCCCCCTAGGCTGTCGGGGGAGCCCGGACCCCCCACCCCGCACCCCTGCTCCCGGGCTGTCCGGGCATCCCCGGCGCCCCCCACCCCGCGCCCTGCACAGGGCTCTGGGGCTGCGCGTCGGACGAGCCCCTAGCTGTAGGGCAGCCCTGAGCCGCACCCCTGCAGCAGGGCTCCTGGGGGCTGCAGCGTCGGGAGGAGCCCCATAGGCTGTCAGGGCATCACCGCCCCCCCCCAACCCCGCGCCCCTGCAGCAGGGCTCTGGGAGGCTGCAGTGTCAGGACGAGCCCCCTAGGCTGTGGGGGCAGCCCCGCACCCCTGCAGCAGGGCTCCTGAGGGCTGCAGCGTCAGGACAAGTCCCCTAGGCTGTCGGGGCATCCTCCCACCCCGCACCCCTGCAGCAGGTCTCCTGGGCGGCTGCAGCGTCGGGACAAGTCCCCTAGGCTGTCGGGGCATCCTCCCACCCCGCACCCCTGCAGCAGGTCTCCTGGGCAGCTGCAGCGTCAGGACAAGTCCCCTAGGCTGTCGGGGCATCCTCCCAACCCGCACCCCTGCAGCAGGTCTCCTGGGCGGCTGCAGCGTCGGGACGAGCCCCCTGGGCTGTCGGGGCACCCCGTCTCCCCCGCCCCCCACCCCGCCGCCCTGCAGCAGGGCTCTGGGAGGCTGCAGCGTCGGGACGAGCCCCCTGGGCCGTCGGAGCACCCCCGCCCCCCACCCCGCGCCCCTGCAGCAGGGCTCCCGCACCCCCGGCGGCGGCGCGGCGGAGCGGCTCGGCCGCCCGGCTCACCCCGCGTCCGGAGCTGGCTGCTGGCGGCCCCCGGGGCGCGGGGCGGGGGGCTCGGCTCCCGCGGGGTGTCGGGGCCCCTGGCGCAGGTCGTGGCGGCCGCGCTCCGCACCCAGCAGCCCGGCGGCGGCAGCTCCAGCCGCGCGGCCCCTCCTCATACTTCTCTGGTGGCTCCTCTGGCTGCTGTTTGGGAAAACGATTCCCCCCTCCCCTCCCCTCCCCTCCCCTTCCCGCCCCCTGCCCCCGCCCCCGCCCCCGCCCGAAACTCCTCGCTTCAGCTCCTCGGCCGCGTGGAGCGGGCGGAAGCTTAGGGCTTTTGCTTTCTCGGGTGGGCGGCCCCGCGGGGGAGCCGATTTCCCCTTCGCAGGGGGGAGACTGCGTTACACGCCCTGGGCGGGGGGGGGGGGGGGCAGGGGCAGCCCCGGGCCCCGAGCGCGGGCCGCGGAGTCATGTTTAACTCCGGGGCTAGAGCACAGCCCGGGGCTTTAGCTCGATTTTGAAACTGGGCGTTGGAAAAGTCCTGCCCCGCTGGCCGCGGGTTCTGCAGACGCAGGGGCAAGGGCTTTCCAGCGCCTTCGGCCGCCTCCGCTCCAAACTGGACGGTCTGATTTCCTAGGATTCTTTTTAAGCTGCAGGTTTTAGAAGAGCCGAGCGCTCAGCTCACGGCTGTTTTCGCTTTTGCAAAAGGAAACGCAAGTCCGCCCTCCCCTCCCCGCGCCTGCAGCTCAGCTGTATGTTGCCTATGTCGTGGGCCATTGTCTCCAACTGCTGTCTGTCTGTCTGTCTGTCTTCTCCAACTGCTGTCTGTCTTCCCGTGGCGTGCACGGAGGTGCGAGGCCCGCCCCACCTCTGCTACCCACGCTCAGGGTCCCCACAGCGGCCAGTGACCGCTTTCCGCCCAGAGTCCGACCCAATGACCACGTTTTCTGTGTTTGCTTTCCTTTATGTGTCCATCAGTCGCCTGTGCATCTCCGACCGACGCATAGAATGGCCTTGGCCCAGGTAGTTCGATCCTCTCCTGGACCTCCTTTCTGTTTTAGAGTAGTGAGTAACCTACCCACCCACCCCCACCCCCCAAAATAGAAACTACCTGTAGATCCATATAGCTAAGTGATGTCGAGAGTTGCAAAAGTTGCAGAAAGGCATTTCGCACTCATTATTGCTCTCATCTGGAAGGGGTTCCTTGCTTTAACACATCCAGAAACTGCATCAGTTGCTTGCTGGTGCTGGTAGTACAAGTAAAGAGGAAAGGGACAAAGGATTTTGAAGTTTGGTGGCATTGAGCCACCAAAGGTTTTCCGTCTTAGTTCAGGTTGATGTTGCAGCTGGCAGCTCCCTATTCCTCCTGGGCTCCCCACAAGCCAGTGAAAAGAACCACTCCTCATTTGAAGGAGAAATGACATTATAAAAAGCCTGTGTTGTCGCTCAGACTCACAGGAACGACAACAGCGAAGCACACAGAGCGGGTTAGGGATGAATTCGAGCAAATGATGCTGATTATTTCTCAGAATTTAACCAGATCTGAGTATTCCAATAAAGTCTCTTGAGTTTCTGAATCTGTGCCATTTAGGAAAAAGACCAAACACCCTCAATAATTGTTCATGATCAAAATATCATCAGCCGATCAATGGTTAATTTAAGTATCATCAAGGTATATAATAAGAGTTCAAAGACTCTAACACCATGAGTTTTGAAAATTGTATGTCCTATTTTTCTGCAGATATATTGTTGTCACATTGTTCAATATTGATAATATAAAAAGCAATATTTTTGTTGGTTTAGGAGCAGTGCTCAACCCAGTGTAGGAAAATAAGGAAGCTTACAGAGGCCTGGGGAAAGCATAGTCATTCAACTGACTCCTCCAAGGCCCTCCTTTCCAGGTATTTTTAGTGTTAGTATTGGCCTTATAGCAGATCCTCTGTCCTTTTAGCAAAAGCACAAGGAAAAGTGGAGAAATATGCATTTTTTCCCCCTTAACATCTGAGCATTGTGTTGAATATTCTTTTGATGTCAAAAGAGAAGTAATACAGGGCTCAGTTAGTTAAGCGACCAACTCTTGACTTCCTGATTTCCGCTCAGGTCATGATCTCAGGGTTGTAAGATCAAACCCTGTGTAGGGATCTGCACTCAGTGTGGAGTCTGCTTGAGATTCTCTCTCTCCCTTTGCCTCTGTTCCTCCCACTGCTCATATACTCTCTCTCTCTCTCAGAATAAATAAATAAAATATTTCAAAAAAGAGAAATAATACATATTTCTAAAGAGGCACGAAAATAATATTTCCTTTAACATTTTTTCAGCATTTTTAACAACTCCTGTTTGATTTCATTTTGTGAATTACAAAATCAGATTTCTGTTTATGTATTCCAGTTGGCCACTGGTACATTTGTCAGACACTCTTTGTCCAAGAATTTTCCTGCCTTGGTCTCAATCTGAACGTATTGATCTTGGGAAACCATGGCCCAACAGACTCAACTATAACTTCTGCAGTGTGAAAGTGAAGGAAACAAATTCCTCATCTAACAAGGTTAAAAAAAAAAAAGTCTAAATACATTCTTGAAGCTTGACAGCATAAAGAAGAAAAGTCAAGCCAGATTCAGTTTAGTTTTCTTTTGTAAGTTATCACAGCTTAGAGGATTCTCATATTGAAAGTTTAGGGGTTAATATGTGTTTTGGGCATTCTAAACCTTCAGTATTGTCTCGCATATGAACTGGACCTTTTCTCTTAAAAAATATATATGCAGAAAATGAACAATACAATTATTTTTGTCCTCGTCTTTAGGATAGCCTCTCCTCCTCCTCCACATCCCCCTCCCTTTTTTCTCCCTCTTCTCTCTCCCCCATAGAAATAATAAATACTCACTTATTCTGTAACGTAGGGCAAACTTTCACTGGATGATGGGGATCCGTCGGCGTGCTGGAAGACGTTAAATCACGTGGCGAGAGATACTGGGTAAAATAAATTTGCAAAGGTGACCAAGGCATTCTTATATTTCTAAATAACTGCGAAAGGCATTTAACAGTGGCAAATGATGGCTGGAGAAGCAAGTGAGAATGATGATGCTGAAAGCAGCATAAAGACATGCAGGGGGGCTGGAGAAGCACATGAAGCAATGGAATAAGTGAAAGCACTTACATTTTACTGAAATCCTTTATCAGTGAGGTCGAACATCTTTATATTTCCCTCCCTAGCAGCTTGGCCCAGAGGGTAGGTCTTCCATTGATATATACTGAAATAAAATGTTTTAATGTCTTAAGGCAGACAGAAGTCCTAATATGGTATATACAGCTACTGTTAGGGATAACTGGTAAAGGCTGTGACTTTTCATCACCACCCATATATAAAACTACAAAGAATAAGTGAGAAATTTCATGGGAAAAGTTCAAGGTTTACTCAGTTTGACATGCTACTTAAAAAAAAAAAAAATCTATTGCTTTACTCTCAATGGAGAACTTTAAACTTTATAAGCACAGCACAACAGTAGCATCGATATTCGTTCCCTACTGTTCAAGACTCATATTTTTGCAAAATGTGTGCTATATATAAGGCCATGTCTTCTCATTTTTACACAGGGGATAGATTAAAATCGTTTCATGAAATACGCCATTTATCTCATCTAGTTTTAAGTCCCCTATACAGTACATAGTGTTGTGTGATTTTCCTCGTTCAAGTTGGAATTGGGTTTTTTATTTTACCTTCGTTAAATATTCTTATGGCTTGTTCCTAAAACTTCTGTTAAAATATCATGCCATCCTAATTGCAAGCTCAAATTTAATAATGAGTGTTCAATGTAAAATATTTTTATTTCGATAATCTTGTCTTTCTTTTATACCATTTTCTCCAGCATCTAGAATGCCAATGGGTATATAGTAGGCACTCAATAATTGTTGAATGAAAAAATGACTATTACAGTAAAAGCCAGTCTCTTAGGAAACTTACGACTAATTGGTTAGATTTTTATATATTGTCTTTAATTTAGTAGTTTGGAACTCAGAATAGAAAAATAATGTTAAAATAACATCATAAATGATGGTTTCATTCCCAAGCTAGAATCATTTCATCTGGTAAAATGTAACTAGCATTCAGTAAAACAGATGCTTGCCTGTGTGCCAGGCTTATAAATGAGGTCAGTCTGTGTCACTTGTCACTTCATTAAAACCCAAGGTTGATTTGGACTCAAGGTTTAATCATAACCAATATAATACGAGTGCAATGAAAAGTAATAGAAAAAAATCACTACCTCAGTGGCTTTCAAACTTTTTTTTATTGTGACCCATAATAAAAAATACATTATGGAACAGACACATAGACACACACTCAGACACCCACGACCAAAACAGGTTTCACAGAACAGTACTTACCTTCCTCTATCAATGCACTCGGATATTTTTTAAAATTTTTATTCTGATATTTTTCTACTTGGCTTTATTCTAGTCTTTCTATGCCATTCAGTTGAAAAGAAATGCTGTTGAAGAACTGCTAAATATATTTCACAACCCACAGTTGAAAAAAAAAAAAAAAACGACCTGGAAACTAAACTAAGAATATCAGTCAAAATGAAGATAGGGTATCAGTGAACAGACGATTTCATTATAAACTACAAACCAGATGTGCGTATATATTGTTAGCAGTGGACTTGACATGATGTCATGTCACAATATCCCAAACATCATACACCCTCACACCTCCATGCCATTGCTCATGCTGACTAGAATGATTTTTTACCTTTTACTTTCTCCTTTGGAAGAAATCAGATTCATTCTTCCAGGACCAGCTTAATAGTCGTCTTCTTTGTCGCTCTCCTGATTTCTCTGGCAGAAATATTGCTGTGCTCTGAGAATTTTTCCATTTCTTGTATCTCATTTATGATGTAGAGTCAGGGTGATTTTCTTATGCATCTCTATCCCCACCCCCCCACCCCCACTAAACTGTGAGTCCCTTGAGAGCAGTTAAATCCATCTTTGCATATCAAGTACTCAACACAGTACCAACCAAAGGTTGTTGAATGATGGAGTGAATGAATAAATGAGCCATAAACCATGGAATATCTGAAAGAGAAGAAGTGGTATTCACTGGGTGATGGAACGGATAAACGTGTGTGCATCAAAAGAGAATTAAATGGGAATTCTGCAGAGACGGTGGCAGCTGTTGGTTTTGCATCATCATAGATAGAAACATTTACAAGTG